TAGAATGGAAATATCCAATAACCCTATTCTTGTTTTAGTGTCTTTTTAGTGACCTAGAATTGTTCTGAGGCTAGAAGGATTATAAGAATAAGAAGAAAATCTGCAAAATAGTGCACATTGTCATGGATGCTAAAAATTTACTAACCCATTTGTCATCTTGAACTAGAGTATATAATTAAATCCAAGCTATGGCAAATATTATCAAAGATATTATTAATAAAAAACATCTTTCATCAATCACTAATACCATTCTTTCAGAAAACATTATGAGCCAAATTCCAAGATACTCAAAGAATCTGAAAAGAACATTGGTAGCAATGATTAATATAAATGGAATAATATTAATTCATAGTAGGAAACTACAGATGTTCTGTCACATTCTGGACATTTCTGGTGGTAGTAGTGGAAGGATCATTGGATATTTGAAAGCCCTAGCAGATCTAGGTACTAGTGGGCTACATGGCCTTGGGTAACAGTGTCATTTGAACCTTAATTGCCTTATCTAAGCAACAAATGTAATAATACTAAGTTGGATTGTCAGTAGGATATACAGTCACTTAACATTCCTAGCTCTCCAGAGGAAATTGAAAGCCTCTTGTCTCCTCTTCCTTCTCCATTTCTTCACCTCCTTTTACTCTTCTGACTCCTCCTACCTTTCCACTGAGTGGCTCTAGGAAAGATCACCTACCTATATACTTATCTGATATACCTATACTCTTCCTAACTCTTGAAAGGCTTTCCTTCCCTGGTTGCATTCCTGGTTTCCCACCATTGTTCTATACTTCATTGTCAGTGTCATTTGCAGATTAGTCTCTCTTTGCTATTACTAAACAACAGTAATTCCCACGGTCTTGCACTTAATTATCTTCTTCCCTATACTCTGCATGAGTGATCTCATGCACTGTCATAATTTAAAGTATTGCCCAAACAATAATGTCTCCCGAACTTGATTTGTAATGCAGACATCTCTAAGCCTGACTGGTCTTTACCATTAAACTACTGGATACTCTTCCCTATCTACCCAAGAGGACTTCAAGGTCAAAGCCCAAAGATGAATTCATTAAGTCCAGGAAGTGTATTATCCTTCTTGTAGTCCTGTGCTTTAGAATGAGATGCCACCATCCACTATGTCATCCAAGCCAAAAACCTTGGCACCATACTCACTTCACTCACCCTCATCTCTCATCATCCATTCACTCACTAAGTTTCATCAAGTTTAGCTTTTAGGTATTTTTCCACTGGGCCCCTCACTCCCTCCTCACCATTGATTCCTACCACTATTGGGAAAGTTACCATTTTGGTTTCATTTGTTCATTAATTTTAAAGGATAGAGTTAATGAACAATTAAGGCTAAAATGCTAAGTTTTCCTATGTTGGTAGGAATCAAATGCCTCAAGAGCCCTGTAATACATTAGCTGAGACCAGGAGAGAGGAAGAAGCCTCCTTAGTGAAGAGTGGGGTTATGTAATATTTTTGCAGGCATGAACATGCTTTCAAAATTTCAAGAAACTCTGCTTTCCAGTGAAGGCCCTGGCAAAAGCAGAGCAATGAAAAGATAAGAATTATTTGTCAATTGCAATGAGTTATGCCTATAATTAATTGAAGATACTTTATACTTTAAAATACTTTAAAAAACAGTTTGTTTCCTAAAGTAGTTT